TGTATAAGTGTTCCTTTTTCTCTGCGACCTCACCAGATCTCAGTGGTCAACTCCTCCCACTCCCCAGGTAACACTGATTTGCTCTGTGCCTACAGTTTTGCCTTTCCCAGGATGCTGCGTGAATGGGATCATACGGCCTTTTGGATCTGGCTCCTTTTAGTTAGAATGATACATTTGAGACAGGTCCCTATTGTTGTGTGTATCAGTAGTAGGTTTCTTCTTTTTTTGAGATGGATTATCACTCTGTCATCCAGGCTGGAGTGCAGTGGCATGATCTCAGCTCACTGCAACCTCCGCCTCCCTGATTCAAGTGATTCTCCCGCCTCAGCTTCCCGAGTAGCTGGGATTACAGGTGCGTGCCACCACGCCTGGCTAGTTTTTGTATTTTCATAGAGATGGGGTTTCCCCATGTTGACCAGGCTGGTCTTGAACTCCTGACCTTGTGATCTGCCCGCCTTGGCCTCACAAAGCGCTGGAATTACAGGCGTGAACCATGGTGCCCAGCCTGCATCACAGGTTGTTTCCCCAATACTTACCAGTTGCAGAATTCAAATTCACTTTTAAAAAATCAGCCTGAAAAAAAGAAAAAAAAAAATCAGGCTGGCCAGGCGTGGTGGCTCACGCCTGTAATCCCAGCACTTTGGGGGGCCATGGCGGGCAGATCACCTGAGGTCAGGAGTTTGGGACCAGCCTGGCCAAAATGGTAAAACCCTGTCTCTACTAAAAATACAAAAATCAGCCTGGCGTGGTGGTGGGCGCCTGTAATCCCAGTTACTTGGGAGGCTGAGGCAGAAGAATCGCTGGAATCCGGGGGATGGAGGTTGCAGTGAGCCGAGATCACACCACTTCACTCCAGCCTGGGCAAAAATGTGAAACTCTGGATCAAAAAAAAAAAAAAAAAAAAACAAGATTGGCACAGTGGCGCACTCCTGTAATCTCAGGACTTTGAGAGGCTAAGGTGCAAGGATTGCTTGAGCCTGGGAGTTCAAGACCAGCCTGGGGAATATAGTGAGACCCCTATCTCTACAACAAAACATATACAAAAATTAGCCGGGCATGGTTGCTGTGCGCCTGTAGTCCCATTTCCTCGGGAAGCTGAGGCGAGAGGATTGCTTAAGCCTGGGCAGTTGAGGCTGCAGTGAGTCGTGATCGCGCCACTGCACCGCACCTGGCTTGAATGGAGTGGGAGTGGGGGATTAGGCTCTCACTCCCTGCCGTTTGCTCCCAGGCCTTTTCCGTAGCTGGATGTGACCAACAGAGACAGCGCCCAGCCTCAGTACAGCTGGCTCTTAGTGGAGGAGCAGGAGCCGTCTGGGGCAGATGTGGGAGAGAACGTGGCGAAGGAGAGCCCGGTGCAGTCAAGGAGGCTTGTGGCTCGGAGGGGAGGTGGGGTGAGTGGAGACTCAGCAGCTTGGCTCTGGGGAAGTAGACAAGAGAGGGCCTGCTTCGTAGAGCAGACCAAGCCAGGATGTCTGGCCTTCACTTCTACTTGGAGCAGAAGTGTGCTGTGTGCTCGTGTGTGTGCGTGTGCGTGCACGTGTGTGCGCGCTAAATCAAACACCCTCGCTGCCTCTGTGTCCCCCTCAAGGGGAAGCCAAGTCCACGGATGGTGAAGGCCCATGAGGCTGCAGGTCTTCGCCCCGCAGATAGATGGCGCTGTTGCACCGCGCCTGGGTTTGCCTCTGCCCACAGCCATGCAGGGCCCATCACGGGCTATGCCTAGGGCGTAAGGGACCTTCCCCACGTCCACCATCCTTATT